GCCGAGCCTTTTTATTTGTATTTTATTTATTTTTGAAACAGTCTCACTCCATTGCCCCTGGTAGAGTACAGTGGCATCAGCCTAGCTCACTGCAATCTCAGATTCCTGGGCCCAAGTGATCCTCCTGCCTCATCCTCCTCCCGGGTAACTGGAACTACCGGTGCCTATCTCCATGCCTGGCTCATTTTCCTAATTTTTAGTAGAGATGGGGTCTTGTTCTTGCTCAGGCTGCTCTTGAACTCCTGACCTCAAGTGATCCTCACACCCTGGCGTCCCAGAGTGTTGAGATTACAGGCAAGAGGCACCATGCCCAATAAGAAGCAGAACTTTAAATTCCAAGCCCCCAGATGAATTTCAGAGAAGTCACCCTTGCTTTGGACTGTAAACCAGTCTGTTCTGCTCTCGTAAAACCAGCCCCATCTTCAACTTCTAACTGGACCTTAGCCTCTCTGGCTCTGTGTCAGTACCCATATCCTACCCAGGTCCACGTCCAACACTAGTCACTCTTAGTATTCTACCAAGTCAGCCCCTGCTGCTGGCCTCTAAAGCCTAGTGTCTACGCCACCAAACCAGAGGGGCAGACTGGGGTTCGTAGCACCTGCATGTCTGTCCAGGAGCAGGCAGAGAAGGATTTGTATGTCACATGCCTTTGGCTACTCTTATAGATGAAGCCCTAGGCATCTTTTCTTCCTTAATATACCTGGACTCTGACATGGGTGCAAAGCCCTATGATAATTGTAGGTGTGAACGTGCTCTCCTTAGCAATTCTCTGGATTTCTAAACTCAGCTCCATGTTGGCTGGCTTTCAGGAGGATGGTGGAAACGAGGTCTAATCTGATGACCTGCACCTTTTACAGTGAAGAAGAACCTTATGTTTGTGAGCACACAATTGGGAACATGGGGGAAAAGTGGAACTATAGTCAAAACAGCCGTGGAATATTTATCACCTGTACTTCCAACAATAACTTGCTGTGTATAAAGAAACTGAGGTTGCACAATGGCCATTCTCGAGAATGAATGCCCTTTTTCTCAAAGGGCCAGATGCCAAACTGTCTTGCCCACTCTGTCTTCTGTCAACTCTCTGTAGGTTCCCACAGCTTCATACCCGCTCAGGTTTCATATTTTCAGA